TTTTTTTTTTTTTTTTTTTTTTTTTTTTTTTTTTTTTTTTTTTTTTTTTTTTTTTTTTTTTTTTTTTTCCTTCTGGTAGGTAGTAGCATTCTTATGATACTTTGTTCTTGTAAATACCAAATTATGTGTGGAACCTTGTAAACCTGAACGGTTATATCATGATGGCCCTGAATCGGCCTCCCGTGCATGGATTTTATGTATTCTTCATTGTTACATTTCCCTCCGCGATCTAGGACATGTTTGGAAGTGATTTTGAAATAGTCAGAATCATTTTTGTTATGTTCAAATATGCTTTTATTCATTTAAAATTGATTTTGCTGGCATGAAATTATGTTTAGAATTGAAAAATTGAGTATTTAATTGATTTCGAAGAACCAAATACATGTTTTAGAGTGATTTTGAACATGAGAAAGCAATTTCAACGATCTTAGAGTCACTCCCAAACACGCCTTTAGGCACTTCTTGAACACTTTTTTTATTGCACGAAATGCTCCTCGTGAAGTTGGAAATGTTATGTATCCTTTCTAATACTATCATCTAGACGTGTGATTCTCTGTTACTGAGTTTTGAGCTCCATACTCTTGGCCTTTTACCATCAACGAAATCCTACTGATTTTGGTGCCGCAACACTTGTTTTGAAAACTACATCTAACCAAAGACTAATTGCCCCCATCCATTGACCCTTCCTGGCTTCGCCAGTTCTGCCAGGCATTCAGATAGGTGAATTGAGGCTGGAAAAGTTACTAATTGTATCGGCTGTCCATGATAAGGCTTGTCAGTTACTCTGCATCATTAAATAGCTTGGTTGTACATCTCCAACTGACTTCTTGGATAAGATGTCTCATTTGAACGGGGGGAAAATCCTTAGCTGCTTAAGTGGGTATTTTTATATTTTCACTCGAAAAGCCCGGTCAACAGTCGATGGATAACCCCAAGGCATATCATGTGAATGAAATTTTCTGCATTGCATATAATAAGACGATCAGCTTAAGCTGATTTTTAATGATCACCTTATTTTATGTATATCAGCGCGTGTTTTTTCCCAAGCCAAGATAATTCATAGTGATGTGTATAAAGTTGGGAAGTAACCATAAAATTTAACTGCAGGGTTTGAGTCTAGGAATGTTGCTATTGCTCTAGGAGTTGACAAGTGCTCAAAGATTTAGGGCTAATTTCCAAACTGAACCTGCTGGCTTGATGGTTTTTTCTACTTCTCACTTGTAAGTCAACTTTTTCTCAACCAACTTGGTTATGAGTTACTAGTAGGATCAACCACCTTACGTTTTTCGCACGCTAAAAATCCCTTTGTTCGAGTCCAATTTGCGTTGTTGAGCTGAACACATTGACAATTATGAACCCATTCATGAGGAAAGGTCAGACCAGGTTTGTTAAGGATCTCTGGTTCCTGGAAAATCTCCTAAACAATCCTCCATTAATGTCAAAATTTCCAATTCTTGACAAATTTCCAATATGAATAAAGATATTAATTATAAGCATAACTTACTCGAGTAACGTATTGACGAATTCAAATAAATTTTGAGCTTTTATTATCATGGTTTTTTAGAAAAATCATTTAGATTGATGTTTGCATTGGCATCGTCATAAAACTAAGGCTCCGTACACTTCATTCATGTTAGATGGCTGTGGTTTATGGAGTTAAGCTTACTTGAAATGAATTTTTATGCCGCTGTCTTCTAGATTTTGTCTTAGCGCAGCATTTAACTATTAAGTTCTGATTTTTGTGTATGAGAATAATTCTGATTTTAGAATATTATTTCATTATAGTATTGAATGACTTATCCCTGTCTCTTTTCCAGTGCAGGCAATGGAGACTGTTGTATTGCTCATAGAGTATTTTCGGGCATATTGCGATCTGATGTCATGTGTATGGCATGTGGTTTTACATCGACAACTTATGATCCATGTGTAGACATCTCTTTGGATTTGGAACCAAATCAAGCGGGATCTGCGAAGATGGCGGCCACAAGGAATCTTCCTTGCAATGGCGAGGCAGATTGCATGAACTCGAGCCAAAACCAGCGGCTATCTTCCCTGGTGGGTTGTTTGGATCAATTCACTAGACCCGAAAAACTCGGGTCCGACCAAAAATTCTTCTGCCAACAGTGTCAAGTGCGGCAGGAATCACTCAAACAGATGTCCATAAGAAAGCTTCCATTAGTTTCTTGTTTCCACATTAAAAGATTCGAGCATTCTTCAGTTCGAAAAATGTCAAGGAAGGTGGACCGATATTTGCAGTTTCCGTTTTCTTTAGACATGGCACCTTATCTCTCATCTTCAATCTTGAGAAGTCGATTTGGTAATAGGATTTTTCCTTTTGATGGAGATGAACAAGATGGTTGTAATGAGACATCGTCTGAGTTCGAGTTGTTTGCCGTTATCACTCACAAAGGAAAATTGGACGCTGGTCATTACGTGACCTACTTGCGGCTAAGTAATCAATGGTATAAGTGCGATGATGCTTGGATTACCCAAGTCAACGAAAACATCGTCAGGGCTGCACAAGGATACATGATGTTTTATGTGCAGAAGATGCTCTATTACAAATCTAGTGAGAAACAGAATGCTTCATAACTTGATTATGGGACGAGATCGGTTGAAACTCAATCGATTATGTTTGTTTTCCATGAAAGCCAGGAATCGATATTGTTTTCAGTGACAAGCTGAGCTCTAAGTGGATGCCTACACATTCTAGTAGAAGATCCAGGCGTGCCCAAACTTTTTGGGGAGGATCATTGTCAGATCCCTACTATTTGAAGGGAACTTCTGGTACCTTTTTCTAACTCCCTTTTCACTACTAATCAAGTAATGTTGGTGACTTGCCATGGAGTGTTTCAGTACTTGGAGTTGTGGCTCAGCAGATTACTGATCTCTCTTCACATACCATGAAGAAGAGGTATGAAAAATCTAATTTTAGAGCTCTCTCTCTCTTTAGATATCTCTAAGAATTTCGGGTTCTTCGTGTCCCGGGCTTCCGATTTTGAAATTTATCCATCATTTTTTTTGGTGGATAACCACCTATTAATTCAAACATGAAACAGTACAATGAAAGGCTGCCTCTTCAGCCTTTTTATTACACGTGATTAATACTGATGAATTTAAGTCTCCATTGATTCTGTCTCTGATTATTCTATTTATTGACATGAACATATGAACGTTTATGACATTTTCAGTCTGATTCTGTTGACATATGTTTCAAAAAAGTTACAAAAAAGTTGTGTTCAAAGTCGAGTTTTGCTGTTGATGAAGAAAGAGCTCTCTATAAACTTGTGTGTACGTTCCAAGTTCTTGTTGATCACACCCTTTGAATTACTTCTGTGCATTCTGAATATCTCTATCTGAACTTTGTTGTCAGCTATGAACCCTACAAAGATCTGAGAGAAAAAAGGGAGAATTTTACAGCATTTGAAATTAAATTGTACAATCAAGTCGAAATCGATGCTTTTTATGTGATTGGGAACGAGATGCTTTCTTTGGTAGATCGGATTGGAAGTATTCTGTCTTCGTTTTCAAAACTATTCATTAGGGAAACAGCTTCATTTTGTTCTTAAAAACAGGTTGTACATGAAAGTCGACACTCAATAGTTCGAGAGCGTGTAGTTTTGAAGTCTGATAATAATTGGTCTCTTACCCTAAAACATTTGATAAGAATAAACGTTCCTATGTTAGGCTTGTAAGTTAGACGTTTGTATCGGTCGGGAATGTGAGTTGTCAAACTCGCACTTCACAAAAACTGTTTACTTATCGATATAATTAAAAGAATTGAGAGTTTAGTATAAAGTTTTTTTTTTTTAAAAAAAATTAAATTCAAATAATAAAATGTTTAAAAAAGTATAAATGTTAGCTAAACATTTATATACTTACATTTATATATCTAAGTAGGTCCTAAACATTTATATACTTAGAATTTTTTGAATAAATGAGCAAACTTTATTATAATTATAAGGTTATGTAAAATTTAGTAAGTGACATCAATTAGTACCCTAATAATTAATCCATTGAATTAAGATATCAATAATTAATCCTTTAATTTCTTACCTTATTGAATTAAAAAATTCAATTTTGAAATTTAAATATTTTTTAATGGATTTTTCTTTAAAAAAGAAAAAAACAAAAAGTGATATTGCATTGACCTCTCTCCTTCCACCACGTGTTTTTCATTACCCTTCCAGGTATTTATCGTGTGCAGCCATGCTCATCATAATCACATGCTTACCACGTGTCGCATTTTAAAATTAAACTATCATGGTTCTTTCCGCACCTTATAGTTACCCGTTGTCCTCTCTTGTGCTTCCGTTTCATTTCAGTTTCCAAATTGTGTTTCTGTCTTATCCCTTCTCTCTCGCCTTAGCCCTCGCAATTTTGCTCGCTCCTTTGTCCTCACCGTACTCGTCAATCGGAATCGGAATCGGAATCTCAATCTGCCGGACCTTTGTTGGTCGGTTTCCGACAGGAAGTTCTGTAATTGGGTTGTGAACGTAATATTGGCTCAACTTTGGCTTGGTTCTTGGAGAAGTTGAGCTGATGCTATCGCTTCGACGATTTGTTTGATTGAATTCGGGTTGATTTCACTGGTGTTTAGGTGAGAATTTATCTCTTTCTTTCACAATTTAGCTGAATTTATTGTTCTTATTTTTACGCATTCAATGGAAAAATCTGGTGAGTATATAGTATAGTTGAACTGGATATAGGTTGCTGTTTAGGAGGTATTTTATTGTGTCGTTGAGCTTGGAAGTGCGAATAGAGGGTAGGGAAAGATAAAAGAATGAGGATTTGTGGTGATGGTTAAGGACATGCATATCTTGGAAAATGTCTGAGTCGTATCCGTTGAGTTTTTAGTAACTCTTGGTGTCTTTTTGCCTCATGATGTCTTGGATTATTAGGGTAGATCTTGTCAGATGGATTACAAGATTTTTGGGATTGAAGTTGATAATAGTGGATGTAAAGGGAAAGTGCTCGTCTATTGAAGAGAAGTGGACATAATATTATTTGGCCCCTTTGGATTAGATCTTGTGAACTCTCTCATATCGTTTCTAGTTGTGGTAGGAAAATTTTTGTGATGATTTCTTTGGGAACTTGGAAGAGATGGAAAAGGGTGGATGTAGTTTTGAACTTGATCAAAGGAAATATGTTCCGGGTTTTTACAGAGGACTTCACATTAATTCAAGGTGGATAGACTTTTGAAGCGGATTGAAGGGAAACCGGGATGTTTTAGGCACACGACTTTATTGACTTAAAAGTTCTCGTAGAGGTAGTTCAAGGAGTTAACGGGACCGCCATTTATTACTGGGGATGAGGTGGGACAAGAATCTTTAGGTGTGTTTTATTTGATGTGGTGAACTTTTGTTGGGTCTGAATGGTAGTCATTTTTACTGGGATGATCTATATTGCCGAGGAACAGAGGGCCTTTGTATGTCATCAGCAAGTGCTTTACAAGATTGGACCTGCCCAAGGTCAAGCCATTTTATGCAAATAATTTGTGTTATTTTTCTTCTCATTTGGACTTAGGAGGTGTGATCAATTGATAAGGCACATGAACCATGGTATTTTCATTTAATATTTTGCATACCTTTTTAATATTTTGCAGGCAGAATGAAGGGTGTTAGAAACTGGTTGTTTTCTCAATTAGTATCCAAGTCAGTGGTTTCATCAAGACCATTACTGGGGAGTGACAGTTTCTTTGGTGAGGAAAATAAAGAACATGTGGATGAAGACCAAGATGGCGAAGGTACATATCAGTCTAATTGATGAATTTGTCTTTGTTTTAGATTCAAAATTCTCTTGCCTCTGCTGATTGCATAGATTTTGAGAAAATTCATAGCTTGTTTGGTTTACTTATTCAACAGGATATCTCTTGTAAGGATGCTGCCACATTAAAATTGTCATTGTTGCTCTAAACTATTAAGGGATATATTTTAGACAATAGTGAAGGATTGATGTAATATGTACCTTTGCTTTTCGTAAATTTTGGAACTCTTGAAGCTCTGGTTCCCTGGGAACTTCTTGGAATTTAAACTTCCCCACCGCCACCGCCACACACACACACACACACACACAAAAGGTAGTCTTGATGGTTACGCTGGGGTCTTTAAGTTCTTGGATTCCAAGCCTTTAGATAGATAACTTTAAAATATATGGTGTCACTAGGTGCTAGCCTTGGAGTGTGTGAAGTTCCTAGGAGACTAGTATGTTGGGTCCTAAGCATAATGCCAGTGGAGTGGGGTCCTTTAATCTTCTTCTTATAAAAAAAAAATGTTCAAATACTATTTTCGTTTTTGTGCTTTCAGTTTCGGTTGGTCTCTGTACTTTCAATTTTGGTTCAGTTTGGCCCTGTACTTAAAAAATGGACCATTTTGTTCACTTAAAAAGTGAAATAAAAAATGGAAATGAATGGACCAAAATGGTCCGTTTTTTAAGTTGTTCAGGATCAAAATGGATATTTTGAAAGTACAGAGATGAAATGATCTAAAGTTGAGAGTACAAGGACCAAAATGAACCTTTCGAAAATGTAGGGACCAAAGTAGTATTTAAATAAAAAGATTGAACTAAAAACAATTTCTCGAAGGCATAAAAGATCAAGGAATACAAGAGTAAAAAAAGTACGAAACAGAAAATACACCCATATAGTGATTAGCCATGAACATGAACTTTTCATAGACCTAACAAAATGAACCCCTATTGAAAATGACTCTTTTACTGACTTTTGGTACCATCTTGAGAAAATTGAGAATATCAATAAGGGCCTTCCAAATCTGCTGCTAAAGATTTGAGTCATTTTGGCAGAGTTATTTGTTGGTCATCAATACATTTATAGTTTCTTTTTTTACCAATACTTTTAGTTGTTTGAATTTTTTCTTCCTGCCTGATTTGGTTGTTATTTGTATTTCATTGACTCATGAGTTAATTAACTATTTATGGTCACCATTTGTAAAGATTCAAGAAACATATATATTTATGTTCATCACTTGTAGAGATTCATATTCTGTTATCTCTTATCCTTGTACCCCAGCAGCCTTTGTGGTAGATTGGCTCCACTTCTGTTATTTGTGGCTAGATGTAGGCTAAACTACTGAGCTTTGTGAAATTTTTTTAATGGCCAAGTTTATGCCTGGCTTCCTTAACATTAATGTTCTTATGTCAACCAATTTGTCCCAATGAGTCACAGGGTAGAAATATAATGTTGATGGTGCTATTTGGTCACTGATCAGAGAAAATGGTTTTATTGAAGACTTCTTTACTGTTAAAGCTGCTTAGAATGAGCTACATTCTACTGTAGAATAATGTAAACTTGCTTTATAAACCATTTCTGTTTTTTTTTTCAAAGTTTGCAAATTCTATAATAACATCACATTATCTTTTGAAGTTGCACAAGCAACCACTATTGTACCGCCCACTGCCCCTCATACATCAAACTCTGGCGGTAGTTTGGAGAGTCAAGAAGATTTGCCCTTGGAACAGTCTCAACATAGCTCTAACAGGGTAAAGGTGGATGTGTTGACAATGATTGAGGACCTCCAAGTTCAGTTCTTTCGACTTCTACAGAGAATTGGGCAGACACCGAACAATTTGCTAGTGGAAAAGGTCCTGTATCGAATACATCTAGCAACTTTGATACAGGTAGGAGAATCCGATCTCAAAAGAGTAAATTTTGAAAGAGGCAAAGCCAGAGAAAAAGCAGCTGAACAAGAAGCAGCTGGGATACCAGAATCAAGCTTCACATTTAGAGTACTTGTATTGGGAAAAACAGGAGTTGGCAAGAGTGCTACAATAAATTCCCTCTTTGATCAAGCAAAAACTGCAACGGATGCATTTCAACCTGCAACCGATCGTATTCAGGAGATTGTGGGAACGATCAATGGGATTAAAGTATCCATCATTGATACCCCCGGTCTTTCCCAATCATCCTCGGGAAATATGAAGAGAAATAAGAAAATCTTGTTTTCTGTGAAGAGATATATAAGGAAATCCCCACCAGATATCGTTTTGTACTTCGAGCGCCTTGACCTCATAAACAAGAATCATGCTGACTACTTTTTAATGAAGCTAATAAATGAGGTCTTTGGTCCTGCAATTTGGTTCAACACCATCCTAGTCTTGACACATTGTTCCTCAGCTCTTCCAGAAGGACCTGATGGATATCCTGTCTCCTTCGAATCGTATGTGTCCCATTGCTCAGAGCTTTTGCAGCAAAATATACATCAGGCAGTGTCAGACCCAAGACTTGAAAATCCCGTCCTCTTGGTCGAGAACCATCCTCAGTGTAAGAAAAATATTATGGGGGAAAAAGTTCTTCCAAATGGGCAGGTCTGGAGATCACATTTCTTGTTGTTGTGCATTTGTTATAAAGTTCTGGGCAGCATTAATACCCTATTGAAATTTCAAAATTGCATTGAGCTAGGGCCATTAGCTAATACCCGGCTGCCTTCACTTCCCCACTTACTCTCATCTATTTTACGGCACCGAAATACGACAAGTCCATCAGGTGTAGACTATGACAGTGAAGCTATTATACTCAGGGACAATGAAGAAGATGAGTACGATGATCTACCTTCGATTCGCATTCTGACGAAATCCCAATTCGATAAGCTGTCGAACTCACAGAAAAAGGAATACCTGGATGAGCTGGAATACAGGGAAACTCTATATTTAAAGAAACAGCTAAGAGAAGAGTATCAAAGGAGGAAGGAAATCAAGCTTTTAAAACATAGAGACTCGGAACACAATGATAATAATGGTGATTTGCAGCCATCGCCAGAGGCGGAAGCTGTTCTGCTTCCAGATATGGCTGTTCCACCAAGTTTTGACTCAGATTGTCCTGTTCATAGATATCGTTGCATTGCAGTAGATGATCAGTGGATTGTGAGACCTGTTCTTGACCCACAAGGATGGGACCATGATGTAGGCTTCGATGGGATAAATCTCGAAACAGCAATGGAGATGAACAAAAATGTTTTTACCTCAGTCACTGGACAGGTGAGTAAAGATAAGCGTTTCTTTAACATTCAATCTGAGTGTGCTGCTTCTTACATGGATTCTAGGGGATCTTCTTATACTTTAGGTCTAGATGTTCAATCTTCTGGTACAGATAGGATATACACTGTTCATAGTAATGCTAAGCTGGGTAGCATTAAGCACAACCATCCTGGAATTGGACTTTCTCTGATATCTTTCAAGAGAAATTGCTATTATGGTGTGAAGCTTGAAGATACCATATCTATAGGTAAGCGAGTGAGGCTCGTAGCCAATGGCGGTCGTATAGAAGGAGCAGGACAAATGGCATATGGTGGAAGCATAGTAGCTACTTTAAGAGGTGATGACTACCCAGTGAGGAATGACCATCTCAGTCTAACGATGACCGTCCTCTCTTTTGACAAGGAAACCATCCTGAGCGGGAATGTAGAGTCTGAGTTTCGGGTTAGCCGAAGCATGAGACTGTCGGTTAATGCCAACTTAAATACACGTAAAATGGGTCAGATCTGCATAAAAACAAGTAGCTGTGAGCATTTGCAGATTGCTTTGATTTCTGGTTTTACAATCTTGAGAGCCCTTCTGCGTAGAAAGGAAATTGAAACGTTGTAGCTTCCAATGGATCGATGCCGTTCTGAACTCAAAGCTGAGACTAATCTGCCATTGTTTTCAGTTCGTCGAGATCTAAATAAGAGACGTTGTAATAGACCACATGATTAATCTTTTTGTTGTGTCTGTACCATTGCTTTCCCAGAGAAGTATAATGCTGATCGGTAGCAGAGATAGGTGTTTGCCCAACAGTTATCAGGAATTTTACTGGCGATGTTGGCCGAAAGATCCGTAGACTTGGGTCAAAATTGAGTTGATAATTGTACAGAGATATATAAGGTTAGCCTTTGTTCTTAAACTTCCAGAATAAATGCCATTTTTTGATCCATGTGTACTAAATGTCTTAATTGATACGAAATTCTGTATTGGTTTTTTTCCCTAGGCCCTAAGTTTTTTAAAGCAAGTATAGTAAAGGCTTCTAACTTGTTTTTAATATTAAAAGGGATTGTTTTTTTTTAAGGGAAAAACTAAATGAACATAGAGATGTCCATTTTACTTCGATCCCGGTCCTAAATAGGAAGAGGATTTCTTGTTTAGAGAGGGGAATGGAGAACGAGTGGGGAACATTTTTTCCCGTTGGATAAATGGAGTCAGGTCACCGTCTCCCCACTAATTTTTCACCGCTAGTAAATATTGTTCTCGTTAGGTTTTAAAAGCGTCTACTAAGAGAAGATTTCCTTTTTGGGCTTTCCTTTTCGAGCTTCCTCTCAAAGCAGAGAAGGTTTTCATACCCTTATAAAGGGTGTTTCGTTCTTCACAATAAAATTACGTTATAGATTTGTTTTAATTGTTAAAGACTATTCATGATATTAAAATCAATTTTTAGAAATGATGTGGGTAGCATATTATATAATTTTTTGCTTATAAAATATAATGATTTTTAAGATTTTTTTTTTTTTTTTTTTTTTTTTTT